CCCCCCCCGCAGCAAGTGCACCCGGGACCTCTTCCCGCTGGAGGTGTGGCTGGGGAGGAGATCGGAGGAGACCTTGTTACCTGGCAGCTCAGAAGCCGGTTTGGTACCAAATCTGTTTGGTACCAAGAGCTGGCTGATTTCATTAAAACTGATCCAATCTTTCTCCCTCTTTTTTAAGATCCCAAAGGATCTTTGGAGCCACACAAGCCAGGTAGGTGCCGGCCAAACAATGGCTGTAAGCGTGTTGAATGTTCAGAGTATCGCGGGCTGTGAATAGCCCGGTCATGCTCAGCTCAGTCAAGACTCTTTGCAGGCCTGGGTTGGGGTCACTGGATTCAGGGGGCAGTCTCTGCTGATGCTTTCTAGTGCTGCATCTCCCTGCTCTGGACACACTTTGCTATGCCCTTGGTGACTTGCATCAGCTTTGAAACCCAAATCTTCATTCTCCCTGCCCTGTTGGGGCTGCTGGGTGTGGAACGGTGCCCTCATGGTCTTCTAGCGTCACTGCTGCCTGTTGTGCACATCTGGTGGTGCCAGGCAGAGGCAAATCAGGCCTCTGGTCTCACCAAATGAATGGGTTGTGTGGTTAAGTCCTTGGAAGCCATCTGAGCTATTGCTCTTGGAGGCTGGGAGAAGCTGAGTAAGGAAGCTAGTTGAAGGGCCAAATGCTCCAGGTCGGTGGTTGTAGCTTTGCCTGTGGGGGCTGATCCTGTTGGAGGTGTCCAGGTTGGGTTGCGTTCCCTGGTTTGGCTCCATTTGCAAAGTACCAAAACTTCCTTTCTGCACAGCTTGGATCCAGCTGTGCCAGTGGGCTTGCAGGCAACTCGGGTGCTCTCATGGTAACTTGGGTAATGCCAGGCAGCCCTGGCAGGAGGAGAGGGGAGAAGTCCCCAAAGTGTTGGTGACTCAGGCGTGTGTTTTTTCTCTTTCAGTGAAAGGCAAGAAGAAGCGGGATCTGAAGATAACATGTGTCCCCATCAAGCAGCCAGTTGTGACCACAACGTAAGTCTCTTTCTGTGCCACTTAGAACTGGTTTTCCACACACTGACTTGCCAGTGTGTGTGGAGCATCTAGGCTGAGGATTCAGGTGTTCCCACCACCCGAGGCCTTTCCAAACTGAGCTTCTTGTCCTTCAAAACATCTTCTGTCAATTTTGTGGCACGCCTGGCCTCTGCGGTGTCTTACCCACGCAGCCAGCAATCCAGCCAGGGTCATGTCTGTTAGGGGGAGAGATGTCATGTGCTGGCCCTGCCTGTCCACAGCATCTTCATCCCAATCTTCAGGACCACAGCTTGTCCAACTGCCTCATTAGAGGACTTTCCAGCTATGGGCTTATGTTGGTGGTCAAGGGAGACCATCCAGCCTATTCACATATACCCTCACCTGGGTCTCCAGGCAATGTATCCATGGCCTTCCTGCCTTCTTCTGCACTTCTCTTGAAAGCAATACCGTTGAGTAATTTAGGCTCCACATCTAGCTTGGTACAGGTCTTTCTAAGTGGTATTTGCACAATGGTAAAGAGGTATCTAAAGGTATTTGCACAAAGGTAGAGAGAAACGCAAAGTGTTTTTCACTTTGCGGTGGAACATCTCCTTGAAGATGTTCCTTGAACTAGAGAACCAGATAGCTAGTTGTACAAGCTACATGTGAGCGGGCGAGAGAGAATAATTAAATTTTAGTGATGAAAATGGATGTTAAAAACTATTTCAACAATCATTAAAGGTGAAGAGTAACCTAGGAGGTAAGGGTGATGCCTCATAAAAAGCCTTTCATCTGACAGTTCCTTGAAGCACGGTGCTGCTAAGATGCAAGGCTCACCTGAGTGTCATAAGCGAGTGATGATGGCTCTGAAGCATCGCTGGGTTGACAAACGGAGGGATTATCTGCTGTCCTCATAGCGGTGTGCTTCATGCTTCTGGGCTGTTGTCTTCTGGGCGAATACAGCTAGCCATGACTAGCAGAGCTAGGACACCGCGGACATTTAATCTCTGTCTCGGTTTCTTTGGTTATCTTGTTTCAGGAGGGTTGATTTTGATCAGATCTCTGGTTTGATGCTTGCTCGCAGTCGACTCCCTGGGTCAGTGAAGCCTCACAGCCAGCAAACGCTTGAGCACATTCGTCACTTTAACCCTCTGAGAGGAGCTACAGCTGTACTTGAGCGCTTGCAGTTAGACCTGACGTTGTGCACTTAAAACTGGCTGCAGCAGGACATGGTGACAGGGGCCAGGTCTCCCCAGCAAACTTCCTGTGCCTGGCAACGGCCCCCTCAAACGCGCTGCGTTCGTTCATGCTGTTGGCCTCCTGATCCTTGTAGCTATACCTGAGATGGTGTAGGCAGACTAATCAGCAGCCAGATGGGTGAACTAGCGCTGTTGATTAGCTCACGGGAAGTGGTTGAGGAGGAAGCCTTGATGGGGCAGCATGTGTTTGAGAACCTGCTGCTGAGCCCTTTAAGTAACTGTGTGGACATGGCTGGTTGACTGGCCCCAAACCCCACTGTTGGGTAATGAAATGCCAGGTGACGGTGTACTCACTCCTGGTTTTCCCTTTTTTCCCCTCTGCAGGCCTCCAAGGAACTTGGACTCCAGAACTTTCATTACTATTGGAGTTAAAGTAAGTTTTTAAATGTCTGTTTCCTCCCCTTGTTCTCCCACATCCTTGTGGGCACCTCCCTGCCACCACCCCTAAGCATCTGTCTCTGCAGTCAGTCTGTCAGCAGCAGACTGGAATTTCAGAGCCGGCGTTGAGCCCATCACTGTACAAACATGCCTTCTCCTTCCTCCTGCCACCGTCTCAAGTGATGTTGCCTTAAAGGCTTGCAAGTTCAGTCGGCAAAGGCCTGCCCCTGTTCTGCACCCGTGACTCAAATGATGATGAGGCAGCGTAGACCCCAAATGGTAGGGCTGGTTGGGGGAGGTATAAATGGGACTGCAGTGTTTATGGAGTTACTCCTGCCCTTTTGGTCATGTGTGAAGTGTTGTGACCAGCCCTGCCTGGCAGCTTGTCACTGTAAAGGCCAGGTGAAGCCTCTTGAGCATCTTGTCTAACTTTTTGCACCATGCACGGTACAGACAAGGCTGCCCTGTTCCTTGTAGGTCATGGAGAGTGTGGTCAGGGGGCTTTGGGGCTGTCCATGCAGCCTTCCTCCTGACCCGAGGTCTGCCCCCTAACCAAATTAGCTCTGCTTGGAGCAGGCCTGAGTGCACACCCTCAGGGAGAGCTGGGCTTGCTCTGGGTGCTGTCAGACACCTTGCTGGGGTGTATGGTACAATGCTGTCCTGCTTCTGTAACCAACTCCCATGGGAGAGGAGAGGAGCAGGGGGTGGAAAGGTCTGGATGTGTCCTGTTCGCCCTTCTTCTCAGCATCCGCTCTCTGCCGCCATGCAAGGCTAGAAGGCCCTATGTTCTGGCCAGGAAAGGGCAGTTCTTCATTTGTGCCGCGAAGAACGGACATGTTTGTTCAATAAAGGCCTCCCCTGTGCAGGGCTGGGCTTGCCATCGTGCTCCCAAACCACAGGCCTCTGCCAGCAGGTCTAACCTGCCTTGCCTGGCAGCATGACAGGCTCCATTTGCCTCTGTCTGTGGGCTGTCTCTGTAGGGCAACCTCAGTCAAGCGGATGGTAAACTGTGGTCTGCTGCAGTGCCCGTGTAGCCCGTCAAAGCTGTGTAAGGGGACGAGTGAACTTTTTGGGTAGCTAAAAGTCAGGGAGCTCCCAGGTCTGTCCCAGCAGTGACCTCAGGCTGAGGTCAAGGGCACAAGCCAGCGCAGTAAATCAGCACGACCTCGGCACCCTCTCGGCCCCGAGCTCACCTCTGCTAACAAGGCTTCCCTTGTGCTGCCCATCTCTGGGGCTGCTTTATTGCAGGCTGCTCTCCGGAGAGGCCGTGCGGGGAGCGGGGACAGGCACATCGCTCCTCCTGCGCAGCCATGCCTTCCTCCCCTCGAATGTGCCACCAGTGACCTAATGAAAAACACCAGCTAGAAATAGTCACCGTCTCTCTTCTTTCACTCTCTTGTTACGGGCTCTCCTGGGGCTGTGTAAGGCCGTTTGCTGTCATGCTAAAAACAGTGGCCTGCCTCCGCGTTGGATCAGAGCTATATCTAGCCGCTTACCTTCCCCCTGAGGCAGGTGGCACGGCCGATAAGATCTGGACCTCCAGTCCTCAGTGCGCGCTGGGGGAGGGAGAAGGGGGAAGCCAGGACTCATGCCGCATGACGGCCTCAGTGGTCATTAGGTAATGTGTGTATTAATAGCTGAGGGAGAGAGGGCCTTTGTAGTAGCCCGCGGTGGTAAGGGGGAAGCAGGCATTGCTTGCTGTGCTGTGCGCATGGCGCTGCTTCCTTCCCCCAGTCTTCTCCCAGCAGTCCCAAGCCAGAGCTGGGCACCTCTGGAGTTATTGAGCTGGTGGGACGTGTGCTGCTCACAGCCTGATTCTGGAGAGAAGTAGCCGGTGATCCCCTTTGATGCAGGTGCACGCTGCTCTGCTTCCCTCTGGGCAGTCGCGCTGGCATCTGAGTCCTGCCAGGCCCCCTGTTCCCTAATGCGTGTGGGTCTGGCGTTGGCTGTCTGCAACAAACTGATCCATGTGCCACCTGCACGTCGGGGTGGAGAAGCAAGGGGCAGTGAGGAGGACAAGGCAGAGAAGCAAAGCGCTGAGGGACCAGTGGTTGTGACCAGAGACCCCAGGCACAAGCTGCTGTAGCATGGCAAGCAATGCAAAGTGGGCTTTGCAGCTCCTGTGCTGAGTCAACCGCAACCTTTCTGGGGGGCAGAGCAGGGTGGAGAGGAATAGTGACCCTGCCCCCGGGCAGGCAGGAACTCGGTGGCAAGCCTTCCCTTCCCTGGGGAGGAGGATCGAGCCTCCCAGGGCATGCTGTGAACCCCCTGGGCTCTCCATGGCATGGGAAGTGCTCGCCTTTTGGGAAAGGGTTAATGCAGATGCCAGAAGAGAACAGTCAACCGGGAGCAGAGCGGCTGCCCAAGGCAGTACAGGGCTTCTGGGAGGCATTGAGAAGAGGTAGCCCCCTCCGGTCACAACTTGCACGTGTCCCCTGTCAGCCTGGCGCTGCCTGGCGACGTCCTTCCCCTCTCCAGGCCCCCCCATTCCCCCCTTCCAGGAAGGGAAGCGGCTGGAGCAGTGCATAGCTGATGGATGAGCTCACACGTGCGGCTCTTCCCCTGCTTCCAGGATTACCAGCTGCCAGAAACATCTGGCTGCAGGGAGCCGTGTTCGGGGCACACCAGATCAGCCTACGGCATGTGCGGCCTCTGCACAGCCCAGCGGCCAACTCGGAGGGATCTCTGTGTGGCCTGTGCCCACTCTGCTCTGTTTTGAAATAGGCAGCGCTGTTTCCCCTCCACCCTGGGCACAGCCTGTAGGCATTGTCTCGGAGGCAGAGTCCCTCCTTGTGCAGTAAAGGCTCGTCCCCTCCTTTTCTGGCCTTGCTTTGACTCTGAGGTATTTTCTTCCCTTGAGACCAAAGCAGAAGGCAAAGCCAGTTGCTATTGTGCACTCCAAAGAAAGGCTGCAGGTCTTGGGGGGCGCATGCCAGGCTTACTTGGCTCAGAGGGAGAGGTGGACTGCAGTGCCGTGTCAAAGTGGGGCTTGCAAAACAACCTTCAGCTTGTGGGGCAGGAAGGATGATCGATCTCATGGGTGGAGCAGTCAACTCTGAACCCAAAGGCCTGGACTGCTAATGGGATGTGGGTCAAGTCTGTGGCCCATTTGTAAAGTGAGGATTTTATTTCTCTACCTCCAGGGACGATTGCAAGGATTGGTATCTGCTTGTGATCGTGGAGTGCTCGCTCTGCTTTGATGAGGCTGTAGGAATATTTAGACAGGCGGGAAGTAGCACAGCCTGCATCTCTCCAGGCACCTGCGATGATCCAGCCCGACAGTTCCCAGACTATGCTGATAGTTCACCTAGTCTGTTATCTAATGCGTCCAGCTAGGACCAGGAGCAGTGACTTCAGGGGAAGGAGCAAAAATGCTGTAGTCTCTCTCCTGCTAGGACAACCTGCCCCAGGGAAGCTTGTGTTTTCTCTCAAGCTGGTTAGGAGCTGCCTGGGCCCAGAAACACGAGTCTGCATCCCTTCCAAAACTCTTGCTTTGTGTATTCTTTACCGGCATAACCCTGCCTGCTCTGCTGATCCACGTAAACACCCAGTCCTCCTTTAATTCTGGACACAACCCACCTAGTTTTCCAGTTGCCCATAGTCTTCCAGGGCAGACCAGATGAGAACGTAAGGGAACTTCACCGCAAGACGACAGCATTTAAGGCTGGAGAGTAGCGGTTGACTCTCAAATTCATTCATGGAGCTGGCAACACATGCGCTTTTGGTCGATGCCTAGTGATACTTCTGCCTCTTTTGGCACTTAACAGTTTTTAAAGGGGTGGAAGGTGGGAGATCTCTCCGCTCTGTATGCTGTAGCCATCCTATTGACAAAGGTCTATTGAACGAGCTTGGCTGGAGTCTGGAGAGTCTGTGAAGCAGCACGGAGCCGGGGCAGGTGGGCAGGGATACTGTAGTTCCTTAGTTCCCAGGATTGGTGGGGGTTACATGGGGGTCACAGCTGCACACCAGGGTAATGTATGGCTTCCCCTCTGCTTCCTTTGAAACTGGAATTCATTGTGGGGCGGGAGCTGTGCTAACCTCCCTATTCAGGTCCCAACATCTCTCCCTGCGTTGGGCGAAAAAGGGTTAAAACCCGGGATGCTTGTTCAGCTCCCGTGGAAATATCCTTGTGTCAGCCCTACCGAGAAGCAGAGAGGGGGGAACTTAGGATGGGCTGTCATGCGCTGCTGCAGCGATGCTTTATCATGGCTCGTGGGATAACATCCTTGTCTCTGAATGGAAATGGAAGCGAGTCCTTTGGAGTACAGCTGCTGGGCCATCAGGGTGGGCAGCAGCCAGAAATATCTTTCCCACTTCCAAGTGGTTCCCTTATGTAGTTCTGGTGAAACATGCAGTAACTGGGCTCTGCAAAGCTAGGAGAACATGCACCTGGGCCTGGACCACTGCTAGCTGCATGCAGCACGGTCCTTGCTGGGTTGAAGATGGCTGCAGAGTGCATTCAAAGCAGAATAAAGTGCTGGGGTGTCTTTTAATGCCCTTTCATGAACTTGAGAAGCCAGGCAGGGGAATTTGTGTCCTTTGCGGAGGTGCTCAGGACAGGAGGGGAGTGCATTGCCATGGGTGGAGTTGAGGGTTTGTGTAACCCAGCCCATGGTGGTTTTGCCCAAGTTGCTCTGCAAAGGAAGTGACGTAGCAGTGTATAATGCTGATTGTAGGCTTCAGAGAACCTGAAACGCAGTGTCACATGCTGCACTTGCAGCTAAGTGTCCCTGGGAAAGCATCCCTGACTAATCAAAGCCCATATACTCCCTGTCCAACGTGAGAGCCTGACCCAGTCCATGCCAGCTACGTGGCTTTACCGAAGCAGGTTCTAGCTACTGCAGGGAAGAGGTCAGCGCTGCATTGATGGTAGTTAGATTCAATTGTGCCTTTGGTTGGATGTCGGGAGTTGGTGGTCATATTTTTGTTTCTTTTCCTTGACTTTGGACATAGCCGTCCTCACCAGGGTCTGGCTGGGATCGGGGTCTCTGGTGCCTTGGGTTGAGACTGCAGTTCCCACCACCAAACTGGGACTTGTCATGCATGGGATCTGGCATGCTGCAATGCTCAGCTGTACATAACGGGTCGAAACGGGATGCTGCCGGGTTTCTGGATCGGGTTTCTGTGACATCCCACAGTGCAGAATGGGCCAATGGAAGCTTGAAATTTCCCCCTTACCCCGCAGAAAAATTTGGGGGGGCGGCAACCGGAAATGGGCTAGTCTACATTTCTGGCAGGACACCATTGTGGCTTCCTCCTGACCTTGCCTGTGGTAAAGGAAATCCTTCTGGGTGACAATATACACAGCTCAATGGTAGGAAAGGCTCAAGCTGGGGCCTCCAGCACCTGAATTGCAGGCCTGTGCCGCTCAGAGCAAAGGAAGAACCGTGCTAGCAGTGAAGAAGTAGCAGGTTGCTGTTGTCTTGGGGGCCAGCTCTGGAGGGAGCTGTGATAGGGATGATCCTGCCTCCGACAGGGGGTTGGACTCGCATGTTCTCTTGATCCCTTCCAGCCCTATATCTCAGTGACTCTGTCCCATGAGTACGCGGCCGTTCTGTTGAGGCAGATGTTTGGCTCTTCAGGTCCTTGAAGGTGTCCATTTCCCTGTGTGGTCCCTTGGCCCTGAGGTCTCAGTGCCCATTTCAAGTGGCACCTTCTCTTCTCCCCTCCCAGAACTTCGAAGTGGAAGCCGATGATTTGGTGACGATTTCAGAGCTGGGCCGTGGGGCCTACGGTGTGGTGGAGAAAGTACGGCACGCACAGAGCGGCACCATCATGGCTGTGAAGGTGAGACCTGCTCGCGGTCCTGGTCGTGCTCACCTGGGGTGGGTGTCGAGTTCCCCAGTCCGGCTCCTGTTGGCATTGAAAATATCCTGGCAGCTCCCGTGGGTGTTGGGTTGGACCCCCTGTCTCCAGGGGAAGAGCTCTGTGTTGAACCTTGCTGAGCTGTGTGCATGGGACCAGGATACTGGTACTGCAGGGGGAATGTAAGAGCAGATCCTGCCTTCTCCGAAGGAACAGCGCACTGACTCCTGCAGTGGGAGAGAGAGGAGTAGACATGGAAAGCCTGGCTCCTTTGCTGAGCAGCCTGTTGTACTGCTCTGCAGGCCCTCGGCTCCCCAAGTGACTGCTCAGATTGCCAGCCCACTCCCTCACCTACCACGCAGCTAAAGCATCGCGTGACCACAATGGAGACCACATCCTTCATTTGCTCTCCTGAGCTACTTCATGGATCCCTAGCGCACTTGCTGCAAGTCCAGCCCCTGGCCAGTATTAGCAACTGGTACTGGTGCAGAACCAGGACATGGGACTGTGAGCAGGTCATTTCACCCTGCTGGCTTCTGCAGCAGAGGTCACTCCCTTATGAGCTCCTGAGCCAGTTCTCCGAGGCAAAGTTCAGTTTTCGAGCAAACAACAAAGCCTTCCATCTTCTCCCAAATGCAAGGAGGGGAGCCCCCTTTCTGCTTTGGCCTCAGCCCAGTAAGCTCTTCCCTTCACAGCTTGCTTTCTCTTCTGGGAGCTTTTAAAGCGCACTGGGTTTCTTTAACAGGGCTGACTGCCCTTTCTTAAGGGGACAGGCCACCCTGTTACAGGGACATTCAAAGTTCCCCAGGCCTTTTATAGAAGGTCATGTTGCTGCCACCACTAAGATGGCCCACGGGGGTCAAAAGGCTTTAACTTTTGCCAAATGACTTTTCTCCCAGAGAATCCGGGCAACTGTGAACACTCAGGAGCAGAAGAGGTTACTGATGGACTTGGATATCTCCATGAGGACAGTAGACTGTTTCTATACGGTCACCTTCTACGGAGCCCTCTTCCGAGAGGTAACAGGACTGGGGATTGAGCTGGTGCTGTGTATGGCAGGGGATCGGTCTTCACTAGGGCTTAAATTAATTAACTCTCCAGAAGGGGTACTAGGCCCCATCACTTACACCCCTTTAGTGCCAAGGAGAGTGGCAGCCTCTTTCCCACTTCTGTGCTGGCCCAAAATGCGTTGCATTGAGGGGATACTTTCCACTGCCTGCTCTGGTCTTTGGAGCAGACAGAAGCCATCGCTTGGTATTTGCAATAGTGTCTAAACACAGCTGGGGCCGGATGTTTTCAGTCCTGCTTGGCACGTGCCATACACAGGATGGAAAGAGGCCTGATGGGCCATCTGTGTGAACAGGCAGCTTTTTTTCCAGACAGTCCGAAAAAGGGTCTGTTCCACCCCTCATGCATTACCACCACAAATCTCATTGCAAACCCAGAAGCACCCTGCAGTGCGTCACCCGTGAAAACTGAGGTGGAAAGGGCATTGCCAGTGCCCTGCTACTGCAATGGCAGAGAAGTAACTAGTTAATACATACTCAGAGGACCCCAGAGGAGTCCCTTCCCCTCCTCTCAGCCTTTGCCCATCTGCCCCGAGAGACCCTTCCTGACCCCAAGTCTGGCAGTTGGTTTGATGCTGAGCAGGAGAACAAGATCCTTCTGTTGGGTACCTGAGAGGCCTCCAAAATAGCAGCAGGCACACCCCAGTCAGAAGTCTGACCGCTGGCTTTGCCCAGTGTCTGGTCTTCATGGGAAGGTCCCCAGAAGCCTATAAAGCAGTTATGGGGGAGGAATTCCTCTGTCCCTCTGTAGGTGACCAGCAGAAGCCCTGGAGCCAGGTGCCTCTTACACAGAGATGATCACCTCTCAGCCCCAGTGTGGAGCCTGTAAAACACGATGCTCCAGTACTGAATGCAGTCTTGCTTCCTAGGTTTGCCCACATCAAAAGGGTGGGGTTCACCCCCTGCCCCCAGTAGGTCTTGGGATGCATCTGGGGAACTCCTCCTCTAACACGTGAACTGTTTCATTTGTGGTCAGGGCGATGTGTGGATCTGCATGGAGCTGATGGACACCTCTCTGGATAAGTTCTATAAGAAAGTGCTGGAGAAGAAGAAGACAATCCCCGAAGACATCCTGGGGAAGATGGCCGTGTCGGTGAGTGGCTGGCTTCCGAGTTGAGAATGCCCTATACTCGGTACAAGTCCCCCACCCTCGCTCTGGTTCTAGAAGCACACCCTTTCCTGGGGTTTGGGAGCTGGATTGCAACTGCTAAGCACTGTGGCATATGCAAGTCACGTGGTGGAGCCGTGGTGCCCTGAACTTTAAGGCCCAGGACACATGTCTGTTCTTAGCCCTGTGGGGGCTCGTGGCCATGTGGTGTGAAAGGCCAGGCTTTCAAGACTTCTGCGCATCTAACTTGTTCTCTGTCTCCTCTCATCACCAGATTGTGCGTGCGCTGGAACATTTGCACAGTAAACTGTCAGTGATTCACAGAGGTATGTGGTGCTGGGGGGCAGCTGCATGGCCTTTTCCCTTTAACCTTTCTCCTAAGGGCACAATTGGCTAAGCTGGCTCCCCTGGCAGAAGGTTTCTGGGGCCTCTGCCGGCTCCTATCCTGAGCAGGGCTGGTACCGGGAAATTGTTCCTTACAACTTGCTGGATGATTCCTGTTCTTTCCTCCTTCCCAGCTTGAATTTAACAATTGCAATCTGAAAAGTGTGCATTTCCACATGCATCGCTGGCTCTCGCCACCTTGCACCCTACAGGATAGGTTGCTGTTTGAAGGAGAGCCCCCAGACTTCCTTGTAGACTTAATGGGGATTTAGGCTGGGTGAGACTGGAAGGTTGCACTTTGGGTGAATTTTGGGGATAGAGAATTGGGAAGTCAAGGCTGATTGTCTTTCTGGCTCTGCTAGGGCCTTCTGGGGTAGCTCTGGGCCCACATCTCCGAATGTGCCTGTTACCTACTGGAATCAATAGGAGTTAGGCACTTAAATACCTTTGGAAGATTCAGGCATCCACTCGCCTTCCTGAATCTGAAGGTATTGATCTGCCTAATGAGGCAGGGGATGCTTAGCTCATTGGCCCAAGCGTGCTGCTGTCTTTGAGGCCAGAGAAGGGCAAAGTCCCTCAAACATGAGACGAACGTGGTATTGATGTACAGAACCAGTGGGCTTTTGTCTGCTTAGTCCCCATACCCTTCAGTCAGTGACTCTGCCCAGCTTTGTCCTCTTAGCTCCTTAACCCACTCCTGGCATGCTTTATTCATAGAGGACTTAACTGGTTTGCTCTGTCTCCCCAATCCCGCCAGACGTGAAGCCGTCCAACGTGCTCATCAACAAGGAAGGACATGTGAAAATGTGCGACTTTGGCATCAGCGGCTACTTGGTGGACTCGGTGGCTAAGACCATGGATGCAGGCTGCAAACCCTACATGGCTGTAAGTGGGCTCTTGCACGGACGGGCCTGTCACCTTGAATCAGATGATTGTAAGGGCTGTGGTTCCTCTCTTGCTTCTGACTGAAGTAGGGACAGAAGAGGGCAGTTTAGAAGCTACCTCCCCACCCCTTCCCCTTCGCTTGCCCTGAGGTGGAACCCATCCACGGGGCACAGACTGCTGCGTGGATAGATAGTGCCTAGCACAATAAAAGCAACTGTAATGATAGTGGGAGTAACAGTGGGATGGAAGGAAGGGTGGATTTGCCCCTTATAGACCAACTGAAGCAAAGATGTGTAGCATAAGCTTGTGTAAGCAGTGGGCTTGCTTCATTAGGAGCTGTCACATAGCCATGACAATTGCAGTGGGAGCTCAATTGTCAGTCAGGACAGAAAAGGAGATGAATGTGGGTAATGCCAAACACGATGTGGCTTTCATCGATCCCATTTGGTGTGACGTGCCCTATTTTTAATGCACTGAAACCCCTGCTTCACTGCCGTTCCTGCAGCTTGGGTTTTGTAGCCCAGCACGTGCACTGGATATGTGTATGTGGCTCGTGCACCGGGGAATCCAGACCAAGTTGCATTAACATCCGTCTTTTCATTGCAGCCAGAGAGAATAAACCCCGAGCTGAACCAGAAGGGCTACAACGTGAAGTCGGACGTCTGGAGTCTCGGAATCACGATGGTAATTCTGACTTGGCTTTCGGCTGTTCCAGCATTTGGCTGCTGCCGTGAGTTTTTTGCGGGAGGCAGCTTGTGACTGGGGAAGGAGGAGAGAACTGGGACAGCATGTGAATTGGTGTGGAGAAGCAGGCTTTGAAACCCTGGCCTCAGTCCCTTGCACTGCTATGCAGGCTACTTCGCTGGCCAAGTGCCCGTGTAGGTTGCTGGCATACATCTGTACTTGCTATAGAGCTAAAGCATAATGACGCTGCAGCAGAGACGGGAATGTGGGTCTGCACCCACATTGTGGTGGAAGCCGGAGGGCAGACCTCACTTGCTGAACTCCAAGCTGGGCACACTCAGTGCTCTCCATTATTTTGGCAAACAGCGTCACTCGGGATCGTGAGCCCCAAAGGGTTGATTTGCAAGCAATGTTGGGTGCAGAAAGGGCTTGCTGGAGAGGGTGTTGGTGCTGCTTGTAGGAGCCAGGAGTCAGTGCAGCATTTAAATCCCCTTCCACACTGCAGTATCCAGTGTACGTGAAGGAGGCACAATCCTTGAGCGCGGTGCCCAAGCGCCAGGCTTCTCACTTGCACATCTGTACATGCAGTGCCCACACCTGCCCTGCTGCTGGCCTGTGTGTTTGCAATGGCTTCTGGGAACACTTGGGCAAGCTCTGTTCCATAGAGAATATCAACAGGAGGCTCGAGTGCCTCTAAAGCAGGATAGCGCAAGGGGGGAACAAAGCATTGTGGGATGCTCCAGTGCCAGAAAGCTGGGAGGAAGGAGGACAAGCCAAAGCTTGGGTGTGCTGTGTGCCTCACTGATTATAGAAATTTTGGCTGTGAACCAAGCTTGGCCTCTAGCAGGGGGAAATGCTGCTGGCTTCCATGAGTACTAACAGTTAAACCATGTGCTGTGTGGATGCACAGAAGGTTTCAAGCCAAGTGTGCCCTGAGCTGTTCACTGATCCAGTTCAAAGCTGAGACTGCTCAGAGCAGCTCATTATCTACTGCCGTTGCAATGAGCGGCCAAACTCCTGGCGTCCGGGGGTGAAGGAGATCCCGGCGTCTGGCTCGGAGAAGTTAATGTCTGGGAAAGGTTTTTTCCCTTTCTGAGTCTGAAGCTCTGAGTGGGTGGAGAGGATCTCACTGAGGAATAACCTTCCCCTCCTCCAAGCTCATAACCGCACCATCCATTGGGATTCAGCTTCCCAGTGCCACGGGTGTGTGTTGTGATTGTTCTCTCTCCTGGCTGGACTTGTCCAAAAAAATCTGCCTGGCCCACACTTCCTGTTGGACTCTGCGTCTAGAGCAGGAATGTAGCGGAGCTGATTGGCCATCTGTGCCCCGGCCTGGAAATGTCATCAGGCTTCAGTTTTTCCTCCCGAGACACAGGAAGCCCTGTGATGGGAGATTGTGTGAACGAGGAAATTTTGCAAGTTTGTCTAGAAGCTGGACGCGAGGCCTGGCTGAAATGCTGCCAGCTTGCAGCTGAGCACAACCCCAGCCTGGCTGACGCTGGCTAATGTCTTCTTTCTGGGCTGACTTCCTGCTCTTATAACCTAGCAGGGCTGGAGGATTTCAAGTTGGCATGTTTTCAGGGTGGTTGGGATGGCACCAATCCAGCAGGGATTTGCCCTGTAAGGCTGTAAAGCAGTGTTGTCCTGCATGGGCTGCTGCTAACACAAAGGTAGCCTGCTCCCTGCAGCATTGGTCTGGGGAAATCCTGTGCTGATGGATTCTCTTCTACCAGCTTTCATATTTCATAGGCTTTGGAGGCTTCCTGTGAAGCCCAGGAGCAAACTGGGAATTCTGAAAATCACCCAGATGCTGCTTTGAGAAATACACGGATTAATAATGGAAGAACACTGGCAGAGAGAATCAAAACTGCCTATTTTCCCCAGGGAGTGTAAGATACTGTATTCCTTGTGTAGAAAATAATACATGGACCTCTTGTTTTTTGGTAAGAGGAATAAACAAAAAAGGTGTCCCCTTTTAACCAAACTGTTCAGAATCAGTTTCCTCATTTAGGACACACCCTCTTAATTTTCAGTTACTAATTTGAGTGGGGAAAGGAGAGAATAAATATGGTATATTAAGCTTCCTCTGAATATTTTTGTTTTGTTGAGAAACAGCCCCCCACTGAAACTCCATGAAACGTCTTAGTCTTTGGTTTCATTGCAGTGATAATTTGGGAAATGAGAGCAACACAAAGTCGTTGTGCAGGAAAAGATTTGTTGTAGTCAGAATTCATGGGATGTTCAGGTGGAAACTGGCCAAAAGCTCTTGGTATCAGTGCCTGCCTTGTGGCCATGTCCCCGAAGCTCGGCGGCGCTACTGCAGAGCATCCTGAGGCCATGGGCCTGCTGTCCAGGCATTAAGCCTGAGGCACGAGGTCCTGATGGCAGCTTTTTCTCCTGTGTAGATTGAGTTGGCCATCCTCCGCTTCCCCTACGAGTCCTGGGGCACCCCCTTCCAGCAGCTCAAGCAAGTGGTAGAGGAGCCCTCACCCCAGCTGCCTGCAGATCGCTTCTCGAGGGACTTTGTGGACTTTACAGCACAGTGGTGAGTGTCTGCTCTGGCACCTGCCTGCTTTCTGTCTGTGCACTGAGGTCCTATCCCACCGATTCAAGGATGGGACTTGACATGCTGTGTCCGTCATATGGGCTGGTACCACGCCCTGTTATCCTCCATCTTGGGAATGGCTTGATGTACAAGTGAAGGGAGGTTGGTTTTAATGGTGAAGCTAACAGGAAGCTTTCCAGCCTTCCTGGCTGTCCAGTGCTGCAGGTGAGGTCCGTTGACTTGGCTAATTGGTTTCTAAAGCCAAGGAGTGATGCAAACTGATATTTGCCCCCCTAGAAAGAAGGCATTGGTGACTAGGGGTGTCCCAGTCCTTTCCTGCCTGAGATTCCTCTTCAGCAAAGATGAAGCCAGGGCATCATGGGGTTTCTTTCTTTTTTTTTGTTCCAGCTTACGGAAGAACCCGGCAGAACGGATGAACTATTTAGAACTTATGGTGAGTCTGGGGTGGTGCGTGTAGATTTTGCAGAGTCTTGATCAGTAGCTGAAGCTAAGAGGCTGGTCTGTACGTCCCGGACCAGTGGGACAGCATTGCTCATGACTCGCCCTGGCCTCTGGGGTGGGATGGACGTGTAACATTTTGAAACCTTTTGGGTGGACTAAGGAAGGTGGAAAGGGATGGAGGTTCAACAGGCCCATGAGTGCCTGCCAGCCTGGTCCATCTGGGTTGGAAGACTTTCAGGTGTTTCCCTCATCCCCTCCACTTCTGGCTGGTGGAGAATCACCATCTCTGCATCACTGCCTGACCCACATGCCATGGATTGAACCGGGCATCCTGAGGGCCGCCCTAGAGCATGAGCTAGGATGGTTTGAGGCCCTCAGCTTGGACTTCAAGAGAGTGGTGCTCCCGGCTGGCTGGCATGGAGGGGCACCTGTAACGCATGCTTACCTGTTACACTGGCTTTGATTGTCCAGCTGGGTTGAGTCCTCATTGGTATTTCATGGCTCGGTCCTGAGATCTTGCGTGTCCTTGGAAAACAGAATTCACCGCGGCTGAAATAAATCCGAGCCCCCTTGGACAGAGCACGTGCCCCTGTATGTGCTGTCCAAGGGGATCAGTGCCCCAGGTCTGGGCTTTCCTGTTGCTTCTGGGCAGGAGTTTGGTTGTGGGGAAAGCCTTGCAGGGGCCTTTCTTCCGCGGTGCATCAGTGTCCATTGGGAGGGCCGCTTTCAGCCTCATTGCTGACTCCTGCCCTGTTCTCTTTCGCAGGGGCACCCCTTCTTCACCTTGCACGACACCAAAGAGGTTGACATGGCCTCCTTCGTGACAGAGATCCTCGGGGAAGACTCCTAACTGCTGAGCTTCACGGCCATGGCCAGCCCCTCACGCCTGCGGCTTGGCCTCCCTGCCGGAGAGAGACTAAGGACTTGTGTCCACGGTGGTTTGCTCAAAGTGTGTCTCCCCTGCCTGGTGAACCCGCTAGCGGCCTGGCTTTTATCCCACTCCTCTGAGGCCGCTGCAGGAAGAGCCTGGGAACTTCACACACCCAGAAGTCGGCGCGGCAGTGACCGTCACCCAGGGCAGAGCGGGCTCCGCCATTCCCCGGCTGGTGTGTGGGGGGTCCAGGTGAAGGATTCCCAAGGCCAGGGGAAGGGCAGGCAAGTTGCAGTGCCCTCCCCTCCCCCAGCACCACCATGCTGGCGGCTTGGAATAGCTTCGTGTCTCCCCGTCTTACGCTGCAAGGGCCAAGAGGTTCTTCCTGGAGTCTCCAGACCCCTGTCCCTGCCCCCGGTTCAGGGCTTGCTCCCTGGAAGCCCCTTGTTGCTCTGCTTTCCCTGCAGCCCTGTCACAGGACCACCCCTGGGAGTCTGGCGGGGGTTGTCTGGAGAGCTGCACGGCTGCCTCTTGTGGGAGGGGGTGGCAGTTTCAGCCCCCGTCTTCACAAGCCAGTGCTCCCAGGCAGCCCCATGCATGGGGACCCCTTCCTACCCAGAGTCCTGTGGGGTAGGCCTCCCCCCAACCCCGCTGCTGGGGTAGGGCTCACTAGACTGTCGAAGTGATCTCTGGGAAGCAGGTTCAAACCATGCCCCTCCTTGGCCTGAGCTGTTGCCACTGCACCCTCGCCAGGTGGCTGCACATTCCCCCGTGACCCTAGCCCTACACGCGTGCACAGGTCATGCCCCCGTCTCCACCGAGCCGTGCCCGCAGCCCGGGGGAGAGGAGGCGGCTCTGTTCTGTGCACGCACCCCCCTGCCCCTGCACCCCAAACACCGAGTAGATGTCGACGCTGCGCTTGGTGCCCGTTGGCCATCAGTGAGTCTGGGCACTGAACGGGTTCCCCCTAGGGACCCTTCTCCCAACCCCAGGGCTCAATGAAAGGCATCGGGCACCATGGTTCTTGCTTGCTCCCCAGCCGCTGTTCTGTGCCAAGCTCACACCACCCGTTCAGCGTTCACCAAAAAAAGAAAAGCTCTCTCAAACCAGCACCTTGCCCAGGGGCTGCCGACTGTTGTACATTTTTTCTGTCTATATATAATGGACTTTGTAACCCAATTCCTCGCTGGGATGAACAAGCTCTCCATGAACCCCTTCCTTTACAAGAGGACGAGGGCACGGGGGGTTCCTCCTGGTCTAACAAATCCACTGTGAAAACCTGAGGACACCCCTCCTTGCTTCCCAGCCTGGGAGGTCTATGTCCGCCCGGGGAGTCAGAGGGGTTTCTACCATCTGCTGTAGCTGCTCTCCCAATGAACGCGCTGGAGGTGGATTTTGTTATTTTAATTCGGAATGAGTTTTCAGAGTGATTCCCTCCCCACCTTTCTAATATATATTTGTGTGTCCATATGTGTGTGTGCGTGTGTGTGTGTACATATATACATAGATATATTTTTAAATCAGTGATGAACGCAGACGGACAGGTCTGTGGCCAGCCAGGTGGGTGGGATGATGGCTGCTGACTTCTGGGTTTCAGGTCTGTTGGGGGAGGGGGTCACACACAGACATCTGGGCCCAGATCCTTCTTTCTGTAGAAATGCAGCTGTTTTGGAACCAAAGCTTTTAGAAAAGCCGTGTTGGGGCCTGGGGCATAGGAGGCCTGGGCGTAGGGGCGGATCCACGGACGTGTGCTCTGCTCCTCGCAAGAACCCCAGCTCGAGGCCCCCTGCACTACTGGGGCACCAAGTCCAAGCATCCCATCTGTTTCTCTGCACCACCAAGTTTCCCTGCACCACCTCAACTAGTTCTTCTGACTGGAGATGGATGCGGCCTGTTTTTCTCCATGTCTCATCCCAGTCCCTGGCTTGGATTCACCTGCTGTAACGAAGGCAAAGTATGAAAGCAGCTAGTCCCTTCAACCACTCCCTCCTCCCGCCTGCTCTGCAAGCTGCCTGAGGCAGGTCGTGGGGACGGTGCGCTGTACAGTTGTCCTTTATCTTTGTGCTTGCTTCGGATTGTTTTAGTTTGACTTGGAGCTTTATTCTTCCCCCGCGCTGGGGCTTGGTTATTTTTTTAATTGCATGGGATTTGTGGCTGGCTTTCATCCCCCTGGGGGAAAGCCCTGGGTCTAGAGTCTGGATGGAGTCCTGAAACCCCTTCTCCTGGTCATGCGGTTCGGGGAAAGAGAGGACTCCTGCCTTGCATACCTGGGCATCGTGTCTAGGGCACGGCTTTCATGCCTCGGTGGTGTGCGTCTTCCCACACAGGGAGACGGATCTCACCCTAGCTTTGCTTCAGTTGACTGCAACTTCATCCTCCCCACAAGTCTCCTTGCCCTCTCCTCTCCAAAGCTTCCCCCCCTCTTTTTTGGTTCTGTTCTGTTCCTTCCCCTCCAGGGGTTTTTCGGGTGAACTCCAAGTACCTGTTTGGGACCCAGCTGATCTCTGAGGGGGGAGAGGGCAGTGCCTTGGGAGAAGGCCCTCTCGCCTTCTGTGGATGAGCACGGTCTGTAACAACGAGATGAATCATCGTTCTCAATAAATCATGCCCTCACACCAGCTTTGCGCTGCTTCTTTTTTCCCCTCCCTTTAAAAAATCCCTGCCTTTCCAGCTTCCCCTGCTCTAGCTTTATCTTGAACGTTGCGTCATGGAAGCAAAGTGCTTGAATCAGTCAGCTTCCCTTGTGAGATGCTGTTCAGACATACACCAAAGGGTAGGTCCCATTCTCCCCCCGCCAACCGGAGATGGCAACCATCTTAATTGTTATATATGTGAAGCTGCTGGCACGTAGAACAAATGCCTGGCCTGTGAATCATATGCAACTACTTTCCTCTGTCAGATGATGCGGCCCAGAGGACAGAGAATTGGCCTGGGCTCGGAGCTGACTTCTTTCTCCTGGACTTGCTTAAGGCCACCCATTGTGCTGTGCCTCTGTTTTCCCAGCTGCAAAATGGGGTGATGACACCAGCTGCCTTTAAGGGGCAGAGCTGAGTCCTAACGTACGCCTAGACTGCAGCGGTCTGGTCCCAGAAGCATGGGCTACTGAACCCTGCTTCATGACTAGGTGGTTTCCAGTGCCCAGGCCCGTTGGCATAGAACAGATACCCAAGTACTTGTTACACTGCAGGATGGTGAACTATGATGGGAAAGAGAAGAGATTAAGTGCGAAGGGTGCCAGGGAGACAGAGCAGCCCTGTCCCAATGCTGGGACTTTCATTGCTAATGATTTGCGTTGTGACAGTCCTGTGCCTTCCCTGTGCTAGGCTCTGTATGAGAAACACAGCTCACCTGTGAGTTGTCACCCAGGGGCAAAGGCCTGTGTGGGTCTGCAGCTGCTCTCACACCCGTTAATGCTTGCCCTGATGTGTCCAAACGGGACTTTCCTGTCCATCCCCATCCCCTAGAGACTGAAGGCTGAGCCTGCTCCATGCACTCAGGGACGGGAATTGGAGGGAGATGGGCATGTCTCAGCCAGCAGGGTCCAGTCTTATTCAGCAAGGCCAAGATTGTGGGAGGAAACCCTCGCTCCTGTGGTTGTGTTTGTGAGAGTGAGCGCCTCTCCGCTGGATGACAGATTAGCAGTGCATCGAGCTCAATAAGGCAGTGTTCGCTGATCAGGCCAGGATCCTGAAAAGCAGCTAGAGGTGAAGTCACCAGCACATCTGGGAAAGGCAGAAACCACTGGGGCTGTGCCCCAGGCCAGCTGTGAGCCAGCCCTGTTTTACTGTCACATACCCCCACCATCTCGGGGTGATCTGCCACCTCCACTTTCTAGCCAGGCTGTGTGGCAGGTGCAGAGATCCCACCTCAGGAACACAGCTGGGTATTCGTATCCCTCCCCTGTTTGCACCACGTGAGGCGGGCCAGTAGGGGGTGCTCCTGCATTGAGCTGCCCACCTCCCTGCGCCCGACCACCTTCCAGGCTCCGAATGCCTCCCTAGGGGCGCCTTATGTCCGGCCGACCCCTCTCCCGGAGCACACTCGCTAGTCTGGGGGTAACGTGCCACCACCACCCCAAGAATGGACTGTCTTGTGGCCCTGTGTCCTTGGGGTAACACAGGCCTAAAGTCCCATGGGTACTCAACCCAGTACAGGCACTTGGGGTACTTCCCCAAGTCCGGGGGCAAAAAGGTATAGTCTCCCTTAGTCCACAGACCTAAGGGGTCTCTTAGGCATAATTTAGACCCACCCCTCAATAAGTCTCCCACACCAGTCAAAAAGGAGAACTTTATTGATTACCGGGGGTAGGGTAAACTAGGGTACAGGATACAGCAATATCTAGACATCCTAAAGAGCAAACAGCCTGGCTGTGGTAGCCTTTTGATTACACATCTGTGATACTTCCAGCTAAATATCTAATCAGATTGAGTAGCTTACTCACAAGCATCTTCCAAAGGCAGGTGAAGTTTCCCTTTGGAGGCAGGTGGTTCCTAGCTCGTGAGTTTGGGGGCAGAGAGCCAGTTTCAGATGTTAAGGCTTCTCTGTCCCCTGCCTGGCTGCTGCATCACCTCATGGCCGGAGAGGAGAGACGGCCTCCTTCCCCGTCCTAACTTATATAGTCCCTGTGACCTCATTCACCTGGGCCAGTGGAGGTCAGCCCCAGTTGGCTGTCAGCCAACCAATCTGAAATGCATCACCTGTTACCGGGCAGATTCCAGCTCCCCAGGTAGAAACCCCTTACCCAGGTAAGTGATACAAGTCACAGGCAGAGGGAGCAGGTTCCCCCTCCCTCAGGAATGCAGCCAGCTCCAGTTCCCTAAAGAGACAGGCTGAGGGTGTGGTCCCCTGGGTGCTGGACCCATCCTAATTGAATGGTCACAGCACAGAGATTTAAATCACAGTGTCACAGGGCAGAGATTTCTGGGGAGAAACCAAGGTGGCTTTCTGCCACAGGCTGCTTTAATGGTGGGATTAACCCATGGAGGAAGCTTGTTTCTCCTAGAAGCTGCATTACTTTGAGAATGGGAGGGTCCCTGATCCCCCCCCCCCGCAGCTCTGAGGAGCTGTATACCAACCCGGGAACTGGTCCCCTGGGCTTCTGTGTGACTTGTGCCAGTGGAAAGATCATGACCATTATAGGACCTATGTCTCCCCCCACGCACGATCAAGCACTTTTATCCATCACCACCTCCTTTCACTGAGCCAGGCCTTGTGAGCAGAGCTGGATGGGCTAAGGGCTGGCTCAAGGCAGGAAACTGGAGCCTCCACACTTTCTCTCTGAAAGCCCCTTGCACGCCTCTCTGTTTCTGCATCTGGACTGCAGGACTGACCAGCCTGGATATACCGAACCCTCGGTACGTCCAGACGGTGATTGAAGTGGGAGCCCAAGTCCCCGCATCACGGCCTCGTGATAACAAGGGCAGTCTCTGTCCCACAGATTCTCTGTGTGGGATGCTGAGGCTGCTGCAACTTCCCCTGGCCATGACTATCTGCAGCACGTGGAAGGGTCCAACCGTCTGGGCTAGGAACAAGCTCAGCATTGCTCTGGAAAGCTGCTTGATGTGTTCAGGCGCTGGGTCTGGTAGCCGCATAAGAAGGTAGTTTGTGCATTTTCGTTTGGAATAGGTTAGTTGGATGCTTGGGTGGGATGGTTTAGATCGGTGTGACCCTGCCTTGAGCAGGGGACTGGACAAGATGAGATGGCTGGAGGGCCCTGCCTGCCTGGCCTTCCTATGACTATACGTGCACCGGGCCGGCAGAGTGCAATGAAGGAAGCAGGCCCAGGGACACAAAGGAGCTTGTCTGGAGGACACACGGTCTGCGGTAGAGCTGGGCACGAGTCCCAGCTCTCCTGCTGCTCACGCTGTGTCTCTTGTTGGCTCTGGAACTAAATGGGTCAAAGGGTTTGGGTTTTTTGGTCGCAAAACTCTCAAGTCCTCCATCCCACCTGCATAGGGTGGTACTGATGCTTCCCTAGGGAGTGCTGTCAGCTAGAGACAAACTTTTGTGATGTTGGGGGGATGTCTCCGTGACCGGTCCTTATAAAATAATCCAGGGGAGAGAGGAGGAGCTCAAAAATGAGTTTGGGATTACCGAGGCACTGCTAGCTACAGCCTTGGCTTGACGAACACGAGCGCTACTACAGCGAGTAGCCGCTTGGTGGGGTCGTTGCCTTGTGGTTTCTCTCCCCAGCTGGCCTCTTTGCTACCTCTCCCACACTCCCTGGGTTGCAGCAGAGATTTCCCTGCTCTCTTTTAACTCATTGCAAGGCCAATTCAGGTCCCAGAGCATGAATATGCCCAGGGTGCAGCTTGCACCAGCACAGAGTCCCATCCCCTGGGGTTTGAACCCCAACCAGGTTCCAGACCCCTCACGTCGTGCTGTCCACCGGCGAGAGGAGCTCCCTGAGCCCCGGGGGGGGACTGGGATCCCTGTGGGGGAGCAGGATGCTTAGGGGCCTGTCAGAGCCTGGGTCCGTGGGGATGGAGCAAGTAGCAGATGCAAAGACCGTGCCGAGGGAAGAAGGGCAACGGGCCCCTTCGCTTCGCTCCGTTACCATCTGCTGCCTGTAGCTGTGCTGATTTCCTCCCGGCCGCAGAGCATCTCTCTGCTTGGGTGTCCAGCCACCGCTGCGCTGATAGCTGGGCTGTCGGGCTGGCAGTTCAGGGGAGGGGGTGGGGAGCCTCGGGGCCAGGCTGGCACTGGGGGCCTGCCCATCCCCAGCTGTTGGTACAAGCAGGGGAGAAGGAGCTGGGCTGGCTCAGCAGGCCTCTTGACTGTGGTGCTCCCATCTGTGAGCCAGCAACTCAGGGCCGTGCCAAAGTATCTGGCAAGAACCTGCATCCTAGCACCTTGACCATCCCAGGGATGCATCCTAGTACCCTTACCCATCTGCCAAGCAAATGAGCAGCTCCCTGCACTTTGCAAGCTCCCCCCTGCAGCCTGCTGCCCTCCCTCGGGGGCAGATGACACCTCCCTCACTGCAGAACTGGTCTGCAGAAGGCAGCTGAGCTTGTGTGCCCGGAACCCCTTATTCCAGATGTGTTCCCATCTGCTCCAGCTCCGGTGGGAGCTCAGCACCTCTGGAACATGGCCCAGGGCCTCTCCAGCAGGGCGCCACATCCAGAGCCATCTCTGAGCAGACGGCTGCAGCCTCACGGAGAACCTGCCACGGGGCTGGCAGTGCAACCCAGGCACCCTCTCCACCTTCCCTCCTCCCTTTCCATGCAGGTTCCTACATGAAATGTTCCTTCAGCTTCCCTCACCCCATGTGCTCTGGGGGTCCAGAGTATGCAGCACCCCTCACTCCCATCCCTCCCGCCATCCCCTGGCCCAGCACCATCCGTGGGCAGCATCAAAAGAGCAGGTCCCCGCATGGCTCCTCCTGTACGAGGGCAGGGGTGGGGAGGACGGGTGCTGAACACAAGCCCTCGCTTGTCCTAGCATGGGTCATGGTGGGCTGTGCGGGGGGGACCAGCCATTGTGCGCCGCGACAAAGGACCGTCCTTCATCACGGGCTTGTGGATCTATTAGCAGGGCGTCAGGGCCGCCGAGGGGAAAAGAAACCTGGAGGCACCAGACTGTGTAATTAAAGAGACAGTTTCTCATTGTCAAGGGC